TAAAGCGCCCTGCAGAATGAAGTCCAACTGACTTCAGTAGGACAACTCATGTGCCTACAGGTAGTTATATGAGTAAAGTCTCTGCTAAAATTCACTAAAAAAAAACAATCAAAAACATTGACTTGGAAAAAGAAGTAGCTTTCTAAATTTTCCTTATATTTACCTGTCTTGATTATGCCGTTTTGCTTTGCCAGCATTTCTAATTTCATCGTTTCATCTAGGTAGCAACAGTGACTGTTAGCCAAGTCCATTCTTGCAAAGAGGCTCTGTCTTTCTTTTCTCTCTTGTTGAATGCAGATTCCTGAGTGATAATCCAGCTTGCCTTTCGTGAAAGGTTTGGGCAGGGTTTTGATGTGCTCGCAGGACTAGAATTCCATTCTGAGGCACTGTAAAAGTATTTCCAAATGTGTTAGCCAGAAATAATTGTTTTACTGAAATAGCAACAGTAGCAAAGTTTTCCTGAAAATCATAAGATGAATACTCTTCAGGGAGTCCTTATTCATTGTTTTTCTGGCCTTATTTTTCTCCGCCCTTATAAAGCAAATATGACCTCTGAATTGATACACGATTCTGCAAGATCATCAGGATTGAAAAGGTTCTGTGCTAATAGAAGAATATTCAAGGATTTGTGAAGTATAAGGATGCAAAATAGCTATATAGTATTGTACTACGTTTCTAACCTTCTTGGGGAAAGTAGCAGGACCAGAGGACTTGTAGGCTGTTTTAAGTTATGTTTGGTATCTCAAACAAATGATTAAAGTATCAATTTGTAAGCACCTGGTGGATAATAAGATGATAAGAAACAGTCAACATGAATTCGTCAAGAACAAATCATGTCAAAGCAATCTAATTTTCTCCTTTGACAGGGTAATTGGCCTAATGGATAATGAGGAATAAGTAGGTGTGATATATTTTGGCTTTAATAAGGTTTGATACAGGCCTACGTGACAGCCTTATAAAGTAAGGAGGGAAATATGGTCCAGATGAAATTGTTAAAAGCTGGCTGCAGAACAGATTGAAAAACTATACTCAGAGTAGCTTCTGGTGGTTTGCTGTCAAAACCAAAGAATGCTACAGGTCAGGATCTGCAGGAGTCTCTTCCACGTCTGGTACTACTCTGAATTCTTATTAACAATGTACCTGACAGAATCGAGAGTACACGTACTAGATTTGTGGATGGCACCAAGGCGGAGGGTGCAAGTATTTTAAAGTACAGGATTACAATTCAAAGTGATCTTTATCATTTGAACAAAATAATCTGAAATTCAGACAAATGCAGTAAATACAAACACAAACTACTGTACTTAGTCTGGAAAAATTAAATGCACAGGTAGTAAAATGAGAAATGTCTGGTCTAATGGGTAAAGAGAAATTATAGTAAATCACGATCTGAATATAAGTCAACAAGTGCTAATAGGAAAAAACAAAACAAAACAAAACAACACCCAACTAATCCTATGATTTTTTTCCCCCAAGAATGTTACATTCAACAATAGGTTGGTAAGTATTCTGCAATATTTGAAATTGGCAGTGTCTCAGATGACGGATTATTTACAGTAGTGGTCATCACACTTTAACGAAAACATAATCAAAGGACAAACG